CTACGTTCTCACCTCCACAGTCTGTGGGAACAAGCCCTTGTTCTCCTACGTTCTCACCTCCACATAGTCTGTGGGAACAAGCCCTTGTTCTCCTTTGTTGTTTCGTCCTTCCAGCCATCCACCACCAACATTCTAACAGGAAAGATAAAGACAAAAGTTACAGTTAGGATTTCCTGTAGAAATTTTGCATTGAGAATTGTTATAAATACATAATTTTACATGAAAAATAACAAGAAGCTTTTTATGACTATAGAGCTAATACTGTTCAAAATTTTACACTCTTAAATCTTGTTTATTACAGGAAATAGTGTAACCTAACAAGGCAAACAGAGGGCCAAGAAGTGATTACATACTTATTTCTTTTGTGCATGTGTGTGCATATACACATGTGGAGACCAGAGGTCAACCTGGATGTTATTCCTTGGGCACTGTCTACCCTCTTAGTATATATATACACACAGACACGTATGTATGTGTGTACTTACTGTGTGTACGTGTGTGCATGTGCACACATACCATGGCTGTGTAGAGATTAAAGGACAACTCTCAGGAGCAGGCTCTCTCCTTCCACCACGTGGGCGCTGGGGTCAGCTCGGGTCATCGGGCTCGTGGCAATCTTTACCCACTGAGCCATCTCTCTGGCCTGGAGCTCACCAAATCGGGCAGGCTGGCCAGTCACACAGGCTGGAGGACCCACCTGCTCCACCCACCCCAGGCTGGCCACCAAGGGGCTTTTCACGTGGGTTCTGAGACTGAACCCAGGTCCCCATGGCTAGCATTCTACCACCAGACCCATCTTCCCATTCTTGGATGTGTTTTCTGTAACAAGGTTTCCCAGAGAACAAAACTAGGAGAGGGGACATAATAAAAAAGGTGGCCACAGAAAACACGATCTTTTACACTAATTTGTCACACAGGGTTGAGTGTGGTCAATATTGTTTGATGACATTAATATTCTAGGAGATTTTCAGGTTAAAAGAAAAAATTTAAGTCAGTAATGAGGCTGAAATATTTGATAATGTTATTAATTTTATTAAATGGCTGCAATGGTATTGTCATTCTATCTGAAAACCAAATCTATTTCTACTTGTTAGAAATGTATTACTGGGGTGGAGAGATGGCTCAGTGGTTAGGAGCATGCACTACTCTTACGGAGGACCTGAGTGCGGTTCCTAGCAACCACATGGGGGGTCTTATCAGAATGACTGCACAGACCCAGTCGTACCGAAAACAACAAGAAATCAGGAGGAGGTCCAGGACAGTGTGGGTGCTGACAGGTAAGCACTGTGGACACACTGTCTGAAATGCTCGTGCAAAGATCTGAGACACTGTGAGCAAGGCCCATGTGAGCTGTGCAACCTGCTCAGGCTGCAAATACTATGGATTTAGCATATATGAGCCAAAAATACAATGATAGGACAATAATAACAATAAGCAAAAGGAGAGTCTCTGGTAACCCAACACATTCTCCTGCCTCAGATAGAATCACTAGTCCTTGATGGAATATTCAGGAAGGAAAACTGGACAACTTGAGGAACACTGAGCCTAGGGCAAGAGACACAGGTCACAGGGGACCCAGCTAGTGTGGAACCCAGGGGCTGTAGCAGACACTGGGGAGGACATGTCCAGGGGACCCAGCTGGTGTGGAACCCAGGG